AAAAATCTTACATAGTGCCAATCATATATGGTGCTGCACTATGATAGTAAATCATTTGATGTGCAACACCCCAATCATAGCACCATAGCACTATAAAATAAAACCCTAATAAAATTATTAATCTTAATTCATAAACTAAGATAATCAATCATTAAATAAAGCCGTTCCCGTATGCATCAACTGCTGTATTTTATGTTCTCTTCTGATCGTTCGATAACCCAGCCGTACCGGCTAGGTTACCAACCAATTATCATCGACAGCAATTATTGCATACGTACTTCGCATGCAATAACTATATACAGTATTACTGAAAATTGTTGAAGAAGTTGATTTATCCAGCAATTGCCTGCCGAATAATATGTATTATATTTATATGGGTTTATATGGGTTATTTGCTAGACAAATCACTAGTTGAAAGCAAGTGCAAAACAATTAATGTTTCTAGCGAATGACCCATAAAACGATAAGCTTAAATAATTTTACGGATTGAATTTTGAATAATCCGGATACATGAGAAGGGATCTGGATTTAATCCGGATATAACGATAATGGATATAATTGAAACATTATCACGTAATTTCACTTTAACAGTTAGAATCTTCAAAAATGGTAACCAATCAATGATACAAGATCTACACAGGAAAGAGTAGCACAAACTGATTCGATTTATCATCATCTTATGATAAAAAAAGACCGTACAACGAAACTTTAAAGTTCTCCTTTAGCAATTTTTTATTAAAAACATTTAGTGACACTCAAATCACTAACCATTTATTACAAAGACCCGTTTTGCGGTGTCCTTGTAAAACAAAAAAAAATGTTAACAATTTTGTCACTTTTAAAAAAGTATGATGATCTGATTTTGAATAATGCGTCACAAATTAGCTCCATTGAGAGTTCTTTAAGGACTTTGACTTATGTTTTACCTGGTAAAGCATTTTTCGCGTAAAAATTGCAAAGGAAAAACATTGTTAATTGGTCCGCATTAATGTTGATTAAATATTATAGGACGTTTTGCGGATGCCGAGTTTGCATCAGAAGCGTGTATGTAAAATCTAATACTTTTACATTCTTAAAACTTTTTTTTTAATGTTTATTCCAATCGTACTTTACATTTCAACGTGATAAATAGTATTTGCTGCGTTGAACTTGATTGGATTATACCATGATTCCATTTTGGCTCGAGCTGCAGAAAATTTACCACCATCGAAAAAACCATCGCCATCACCTCATAATAGATACACGAGATATTGGATAAATTCATCCAAAACATATCAACATGCTTCGCTTGCGTTAACATTCTTGCAGTATACCGATGTTTTATTAGAAATGGGTGTACAAAAAAAATGGGGGAAAGAGGTTAAGTGGAAATTGATCAGCATAATTGAACTTATAAAGTGAGTATTAAAATGATATATGAAAGTTTGGTTATCTTGTATTTAATATTTATAATGTATTTCTCTGATTGAATAAGAGTGATTTGCCGGATCATTCTTTTATATAAAACTCACGAACGTACTGTAATTGAACCAACTATCCCGAAACGAGAAATTGACCCATCAGTTTTTAACTCTGAAGACTTAAACAAATCAAACGATGATGCGATAAATCATGAACAAAGGGAGTCAGATACTTGGGTTGGAAAATATACTAAACGAGTACACGATAGTATATCTATAGTTCGAAAGGGATGTGTACAATCTTCTCAGTATTATGATGTGAATGATTATTTAATGAGTAAAGTATTGATGGTTGAAGATGTACGAAAACCACCAGACCTAGTGCATAAATTGCATTCATTTGGAAAACTCGGCGAATTGTTATATATTCTCAGACCATTAATTTATGGTATATAATTTTTATTTCTATTTTTTCATTACCTTTATTTAATGCAACAAACATCATAACACGAATATAATAATTTAATGTATAGTTATCGCTTTGCAAAAATATGGTAATAAGTCATGGCGGCCATGGCTATTGTCATTAATCATAGAATTGTCAACAATTATCCTTACCAATTCCTTTTATAAGAAACATATACCTGGCGGGTACCGATGGTTATCAACGTTAGAGAAGGAAGAACGAAAGAGGCGTATTAAACAATTCTTCTTTTATATATTAAGAGGACCTTTTTACGAACACCTTACAAGGTATCAATTATTGAACTATTATCATAGTCATTATTATGGAAGAGTGATATTATAATTATTAATACACTGATATATTCATTTAATCAAGGCCAAGAATAAACAATTTCTGTAATTCTGTCAGTAATAAACCTATTCTAGCATTATTTGGTGGCATCCTAAGAGATTATCAACCATTATGGGAAAATATTTATTTCTACAGTAAGTTTGTTTTTATATTTGTTTATAAGTTGTAATTAAATTATTAATAATTTTATTCTATGAAATTTCAGCGGCATCTTCATAATAGATCTCATGTTTTCGTACCACACCCATAACCTTAGAATGTACTAAATCTGGTGTAACAAATTTACAAAGTGTGATGGCAGAGTAATATGGTTTGTTTGGCGATCTTGTCATACTATTTATAGATATTGCTACACAGATTACCACAGACCCAAGAATTAAAATTCTAACTACATGAATAAATTTTAAATTTGAAAATAAAATGCAAGATTTATAAGATGCAGGAGAAATAATTTGTGACTCCCTTCTATCCCGTTGAATGAATGTTAATGAAATAATCCTAAACTATAAAGTCCTATTAGTTAAGGTTTCCCAAAGGCATCTCAACTCTTCTAACGATCGATTTTGATTATCAACAATACCAAATTTTAGTATGATATCACCTTTAACATCTTGTTTTGCATTTCGTTTTTGTAAAGTATAAGCAGAAGGCATATTTTCTGGATCATCAAAAGTTCTAGGTAGACCATCATTTAAACCACCAGCATTTCTTGCAAATATTTGCTTAATCGGAATCGTTACTTCGCCTAGAAAATCACGACCAAACCGATCTTTATCCCATACTGTTATAGTGATATGAGGTGGGACTACAGTTTCAACTAGTTTAATGTCAAAAGTTGTATTCCAAATCGGATTTAAATTTTTTTTGACTACTGCGGTTTCGTATTTTTTGTTTGCGATACGGATAACAGCATATGGATCAGAAAAACCATCTCTATCACTACGAAAAAAAAAAAAAAAAATGTAAATTTTCAGATCTGGTAAGTTTGTAAAATTGTATGTTCAAGTTCGACTTTGTACTTACGCTGCTGCTAACTCTCTAGCTGAGAGTACACCAATTCTAAGAGTTGCTTCCATGTTTTAAAAAAAAAAATTTGTTATATTAAACAGTCTAAAAATGTATTTAATGAAAATTAACAGAATAATTAAAATAAGGAGTTACTAACTTCTTTTATACTTTTTATGATATAGTAGTAAATTGTTATTCGAAATATTTTTTGCAGTTCTAAATCCATACTAGATTGTTTGAGCCGGCTAATTAAAAATCATACTATTTATAGGATTAAAGATATCACCAATCATTTATAAATCCAAATGCAACTTATGATAAATGAACCAATTATGAAATATCGAGAATGCTTAAATTAATATAGCTTATTGGTTAGTTAATTTCTATTCTTTAATATCAAATATCATTGGTTAATTTCAGCATCACTCCGACATTAAATGACCAAATTTGTTACGTACTAATCGTACTAGTCCCTTGTTTTTATTCTATATATAATAGAATAAAAAATTTATAGACGAGTTTTATATATGTATCAAAGTTTTCCGAAACTGATCTCATTATGATTTTTAAATTTTGAATCAACAGAAACAATTCGGATCAAAAATTTGTGCTACAGATTCATATTAAAGAACGCGAGAATGACTTGCCATAAAGTTCTTTTTCACAAATCGATCTGTTTCAATTTAAAATTGGCATATGGGAATTCTGGATTAATCCAGTAAGGATTGCTGAAATTAAAGACAACTGGAGCCAATAGAACTGATTGGATGGAAAAAAATGTGTCCAAATCCAGAAATAGTTTTAGTAATAAAATTGCCGTTAGATTTTATAAATCTAGTAAATGTTTAGTGATATCTGATTGACATCAAAATCTGACTGAATATTTGCTACCAGACTTGATCAAAGTTTTCTGTATCCCTGGGCCTTGGGCTTGGCCCATCCACTATCCTGCTTATTTTATTTTTTTTCATTTTATCATAAAAAAAAAAAACTAACCCGTCATTCAGTCTACTCTTTGCTACACACGTACATGCCCGTTTATTTAGTAAGCTATTTGCATCATATTTAGATTAGTCAACGTATTAAGAGCGGTTACGAGATCAAAATCAAATATGTAGTTGTTTCAGTTAGTTTGATTGTGTGACGTAAAAGAATTAGAAATAAATAAACAGTGTGCATGAAAGCATAAAAAGTAAGAATCTTGAACCAACGTGAAGTTTTAAAGAATTCTACTTGTCATGTGTAAAAAAAAAAAAGTTGAATATATGGGGGGGTGCCAGTAGAAACCAAGCATCTTGTTTCTAAGTAAATTTTTTTAAAACTTTGAACTAAAATATCTCAACAACTATTAAACCAAACTTAATAAAATTTTTTTTTATTTTAATTCTATATAGATATAGAATTAAAATAAAAAAATTTTTATCAAATTTGGTTTAATAGTTGTTGAGATATTTTAATTTAAAATTTTAAAAAAACTCACTAAAAACAAGATGCTTGGTTTCTACTGGCACCCCCCCATATCTATTTATATAATATAAGATGTATATATTTGTACTATATCAAAAGATTATACGTATCAAAAAAGATTTGATTTCTAAAATTTCTAGAACTGGTGCAGATATAATCTCACGAATGGTACTTTTACGGTAATCCTTTGATCTCTAAATACAATACGTATACATACAGGTGTCTGTGCATTTTATTACCGCCATTGGCATGCATTTTATCATTGATCATTGAATTAGCTTTGGTTATTGTCCCTCTTGGCTAGAATCTTGTCCATCTTGGCAGTCCGCGGAATACCCATACTACCATCCGGTTTACGAATCTATATATCTTTAATATATATTAAACTATATATATTAAATTATATCAGATATATATCGATATATATTAAATATATATTAAATATATATTAACATGTATATCAACTTTAATTAATGGTACGTACATACGTAATATCGATAGCTTAAAAATGGTCAGTCAGTTACACTACTGCACTATTTCAGGTTGTTATTGACACTATTATAGTTATTTTGATTGGTTAAAATTAATCTATTATACATTTTATTGGATGACATATTCAGTTTCAACATTTTAAATAGGATTATTCTATTTTTCTTTCGAAGAATTATTTTAGTGAAACTACTATATAGAATATTGGAATATTGGAATATTGGAAAAATATGGAAACTCAACAGGGTTCCGGTTTCCAGCCAACGGCAATGATTATGAAGGAAGCGATAAATGAATCCGACCTAGACAAGATTGTTAAGAATCAAACTGAAATGTATATATATAGTTTTATTAATACGTATTCCTCGAAAATTCTTTATATATTTATTGATTAAATTATTTTCCATTTAATTTTAATTTAATTTAGTCATAAAATTTTAGAATCAACGGCATCTTCTTTAACCCAATTCAACGAATTCAGTTCAATTAAATATGATGAACTTGCAAAAAAATTTGAATTAAATTCTAAATGTATCAAAGAAATGAAAATTGACTTGGAATATATTTTTAAAAAGCTAAGGTAATCTTTTTATTAATAAATAATTTCTATTAAAATCTATGATTCATATCGATATGTATATTTTTAAGGTTATTAAGGACTAAAGTGGCGAATCAGCACCCTGACGCTTTTGAACAAGTGGAAAAAAATTTTCCCAAGAATGATGAGGATGATGATTAAATAATAGTTATTATATATAAAAATTTTATAATCAAGAAATTAGTTACCATTAAACTTGTTATTATAAAAAAAAAAAAAAAAAAACAAAAGGTAAAAAAAACTATTAATACTAATTAATAAATTAATTACATGCATTAATTAAAAATATTTGAGTAGTTGTTCTCGAGGTTTGTAATATCAGTGCCAGATACTTTACGTCCTCTAACAAATACAGCTTTAATGTTTCGATCGTCTCCAAGAAATATAAATTTTTCAAATATTCTATCAATAGTGTCAATTTCATCAAAGATTTGCATAGGTGATCCTTCCGCTTCCGGATCAATCAATAACGCGTCAAATTCCTTTCCAATTATAAAATTTCCAATTACATTTTCAAGATTTACAAGCTGAGCACCACCCATAGTTGCAAGGTATGTTAGTTCCGGAAGTGTGAGGTGTGGGTAAACTTTATCACTTGTCTTTGATGAAAGATAAACTATTCGACTAGCAACATTAGCATTTCGTATAGAATCTAAAATCGATTTAGAGAAACCTCCGCTTATATCTGTGCCCAAACCAACTTTAATACCTTCATCAAGCAACTGACGAACATTACACACACCAGAGCAAAGTGTAAAGTTTGAATTTGGACAATGAGAAATTCCGACATTACGTTCCTTGATTAGCTTACGTTCTTTAGAAGATAAATGAATTGCATGTGCCATTATGGTTTGATGATTTAAAAGGTTATGGTGATCATATACTGTGGTGTAATCTTCATGTTGAGGAAACAATTGATTTACAATAGAAATCTCTGTTGTATTCTCTGAGAGGTGTGATTGGATTGGAATTTCATACTTTTTTGCGATTTCGCCAAGGGCGTACATAAGGTCAGATGAACAACAAATTGCAAATCTTGGTGTTATGATCGGTGTAACGAGATTAGACTCATCGGGAGATTCATTGTTTAAATTTAATACGTATTCCACAAATTGCATGGTGTCTTTTACACTAGATTCCATTGCTTCAACATAAGTTTCTGGGCTATTACAATCCATATTTACTTTACCAATGAACCCTCTTTGACCTTTTTGCTGAACTATCTTGGCTAAAAATTTAGTAGACTCTAGATGAATAGTTGAATAGTAGACAGCAGTGGTTGTGCCACAACGTAATAAATTACTAACAACAGTTGGATACACTTTCTCGGCAAATTTAGTTGACGAGTAAGATTGTTCCAGAGGAAAAGTATATTTGTTAAGCCAGTCAATTAAAGGCAAGTCCATACCAATGCCCGAATTTGGATATTGTGGTGCATGCTATGAAAAAAAACGATCAATAAAAAAACCATATCAAAAGAAATAAATATGAAACAATAAATATGAAACAATAGTCATGAATTCATTACCAAATGAGTATCTACAAAGCCAGGTAATAAAAATTGTCGATTTGTTAAACGAATAACCTTTTAATAAAATCAAATAAAATTAAATCAAGTAATTTATATAATAATTGTGATCATTTTTTATATACTTACTTTATCTTCGGTAACTTCCCATTTCTTGATAATATCGCGCAAAGTTTGCTCGTTCGAAACGTTACGTTCTAAAAAAGCAATTTTGCCCCGGTTGTCGACACCCAAAAGAGCATTATGAATGAATTCAAGTTCAGTGAGAGACAATGAATGTATTAAGGTGCCATAAAAGACTTGAGAGATTACAGTAGTCATTGTTAAATTAAATACAGTAAATTTTTTTTTTTTTTTTACTTTCAGAACTTATCTACAGTGGGGTAGCATGGCATTATAGACACTTTTTGAAATTTTATATTGAGCTAAATAAATAAGATATAAATCTAAA